GTTATGGCTACGGGCTACCTTACTTCGAGTTCGAGCAATCACTCACTCGACTACTAAGCCTACGGGCTACATCACTTCGAGTTCGAGCAAGCACTCACTCGACTACTAAGCCTACGGGCTACCTTTCTTCGAGTTCGAGCAAAGCACTCACTCGACTATTAAGCCTACGGGCTACCATACTTCGAGTTCAAGCAATCACTCACTCGGCTATTAAGCCTACGGGCTATCTTATTTCAAGTTCGAACAATCACTCACTCGACTATCAAGCCTACGGGATATATTTTTTCGAGTTCGAGCAAAGCACTCACTCGACCTCTAGGCCTACGAGCTACCTTTCTTCTAGTTCGAGCAAAGCACTCACTCGACTATTAAGCCTATGGGCTACCTTAATTCGAGTTCGAGCAATTACTCACTCAACTATTAAGCCTACGGGCTACCTTTCTTCGAGTTCGAACAATCACTCACTCGACTATCAAGCCTACAGGCTATATTTCTTTGAGTTCGAGCAAAGCACTCACTCGACCTCTAAGCCTACGGGCTATACTACTTCGAGTTCGAGCAATCACTCACTCGACCTCTAGACCTACGGGCTATATTACTTCGAGTTCGAGCAATCAGTCACTCGACTACTAAGCCTACGGGCTACCTAATTTCGAGTTTGAGCAAGCACTCATTCGGTTATAAAGGCTACAAGGTCCGAATTCGATCAAATTGCCTAAAGCCTTATGAAAGCCTTCATAAGGCATGAATGAAACAAAATCTTCACAAGGCAGAGAATAAAACAGAGGCAAGTCGGGAAAAGGAAAGATCTTTATATATATATATATATATATACAAGAGTGTTTACAACGTCCAAACAGGACCCTACACAAAAAACCAAAATGGAATCTAAGGGCTAAGTTTCTTGGTTATCTCCGGGGGCGGTCTCTTCTCCATCAGGCTCCTCCCCGCTCTCGGACCCACTCTTGCTCCCATCATCATCATCATCGGAAGCCAAGGCTCCAGCATCGACTTCGAGCTCTTTAGCCCTTTTTATCTCTTCGGTGAGATCGAACCCTCGAGCATGGATCTCCTTGAGGGTCACCCTCCGAGATTGGCATTTGACAAGTTCAGCAACCCAATGTGCTCGAGTTTTAGCGGTCTCGACTGCCTCTCTTGCTTGTACCTGAGCAGCTTCAGCATCGGCCCGATAGACGGCCACGAATGCATCCGCATTGGCCTTTGCTTTTTCGGCGTCAGATTTGGCCTTGGCAAGTTCGGAGGCCAACCGAGCCTCGAGCTCCGATATTTTTCTTGCTTGAATCGAGCTCTTCTCCTTCATGCTTTGAAGTTGGTTTTCAGCCGATGATAATTGGGCTCGAGCAGTTTCTTTTTATGCGGCAAGACGGTCCATGCCATCTTTCCATCCCAAGGTCTCCGCCCTTATCATATCGACCTCCTCACGAAGCTTCCCAATCACCTCAAGCTTCTGCTGCAGCTGTGAGATCGAAATATTAGCCACCGTTCTAGAATCGAGCCCATGGGTGTTTAAGATTACCATTACCTGCTTGGTCAGGTCGGTCTGGTCTTGTTGAGCCTTGGCCAATTCAGCTCGGAGGCCCTTGATTTCTTCTTCCCTTTGTCCGAAGAGGAGCCTAAGGGCGTTCCTCTCCTCCGTGACCCGTCGGAGGTCGGCCTCGTACCGACGCAGCTCAGCTCGAGATCGAGAACATGCTTCTCGATGAACCGCTGCGGCCTACGAAGAAAGAAGAAAAGAAGTTAGAAAAAAAATAGCAAACATGAAAGTGGTATCAACGAAGGGAGTTAGAGCTTACCCGATTCAGAGCTTGTTGCACTTCACAAAAAAGGCCCGACACATCACTAGGGCCAGCAACATCCTTGACACCAGTAAACAAATCACGGAAGGGGTCCTCCCCTTCATGAGACCGGTCTACCTCGAGGGCCCCCAAAGCTTGGACTTCCCGAATCGCCCCTTCCGAAAAAGCAGGGAGAGTGGACGAGTCTCCGATTACTATTGCCCCAAGCGACTCGCTTGGGGCGTTCTCCTCAGTTCAGAGAGCTTCAGGGCCGGCCCCTTCAGATATACCCACCGTTTGTTGACTTCGGTGGGAAGCATCCTCGATCTCTAATGATTCGGGGACTTTGCCCGATTCTTTCTCCGATACCCCCTCAGTTCGAGGCGGAGCTTCATAAACCACCATCGATCCAGCTGCCTTTCGGGCATCGATGGTTTTCTTAACTCGGGCTTCCAGTACGGACCCGTCAACTTCTTCTTCTTCTTCATCTTCATCCCTCAGATGCCGAACGGATTCTTCGGTCAGAGGGATAAGTTTCCTCCTCGGCTTACGAGTTGTCCTTGTCTTGGGTTCTGGATCCTCGAAAGTGGAGGCCCGTTTTCTCTTATTGGCCTTCGTCGGTTTCGGAACCGGGGCCGAAGTCTCTTCCTCACCGGACGGGGCCCTCATAACCGCATCTTTGCCCAAGCCTACACACAAGAAAATTGGTTAAGTATATGGAAAACATTCTGTTCGAACCAACAAAGGCATGAGAAAGAGGCTTACCATGATTTTTGGCCTCCCATTGGCCCTTTGACAAATCACGCCACGAGCGCTCGGCGTATACAGAGGTCGAAGCCAGGGCCTGTACCCAGCTCTTAAGGCCGGGAACAACACCGGGCATCCAAGCAACCGCTATATCACGAAAAAAAGATATCGGTGAGAAAGAGATAAAAGGAGCAAAGCAATAAGAGCTAACAATCGAAATATACTTACGCTTCATGTTCCACTCCTCAGGGAATGGCATCTGCTCGGCCGAGATCAGATCGGAGGTCTTCACTCGCACGAACCTGCCCATCCAACCCCGGTCCTTGTCCTCGTCTATGCTCGAGAAGAGCACTTTGTTAGCCCGACGCTGGAGTTTTATTAGCCCACCTCGATAGATGCGGGGATTGTACAATTTGATAAGGTGGTCGAGGGTGAAAGGCATCCCCTTGATCCTATTCACAAAAAAGCGGATCAGAATAACGATCCGCCAAAAGGAAGGATGGATTTGGCCTAGGGTTATTCGGTATTGGCGGGAAAAATCGATAACGATAGGGTCGAGGGGGCCCAATGTGAAAGGGTATGTATACACACTTAAAAACCCTTTCACATAAGTAGTAATATCTTCTTCGGGAGCCGGGATTATCACTTCTATTTTCTCCCAGTTACAATCTTTTCTCAGCTGCTCGAGGTGTCCCTTAGTTATCGAGCACATATACCTCGATACTGGTTCACATCGACCAGGAACCGATGAGGCTTTATCGACCTTAAAATCGGAGGTAAGAACATACTCCCGGGGAACACACTCCCCGGGAACACACTCCTCAGGCCGTGGTTCCACCGGTGTTTTGACAGCGGCAGACTGTGAAGAAGCTTTTTCTTTGTAAGGAACGGTTTTTGATGTTTTCACCATTTTGGATTTAAAAATCGAAAAAGGAAGGAGATAACAAAGATCTGATGTTTTAAAGAAAGATTTTTCAGTAAAAATCACAGATTTATAGATGAACTCAGAAGATGCAAGAAAGAACTTTAGAGAATTTGGAGATTGGAGATGTAAAAGTGATAAATGGTAAAGAAAGGGGCTATTTATAGATTGAGCAACGTCGGTTCAGTATCAACAGTGGCCGACCATCGTCTGACACGCATTAAATGCCTTGGTAAACTAAACCGACGGGACAACTATCACGTACGTCATGATCGAGCTCGAATCGTTGGGAAATCATATCGTTTCTCGCCACATCCTTCCCGAGAAACGAGGGGACTATCTGTATACGGTCAAAACCGTTTTCAACCTTCGTACGATTAATGAAGATGGACCGAAGAGCATCTTCATAATATCGAGGTGAGATTTGAAGAAGGCACGAACAAGCTTCGAGTTTCGGAGTCAGATTAAATACCGAGCTCGACGCCATTATCGAGCTCGAGTCCAAATCGAACTATACTGAGAAGCGACGAAATCGAGCTTAAGAGCCAGAGGCCAACCAATACCGAGCCCAAGTCAATACCGGATCCCGAGTCGGCATCGAGCTCAAACCCGCATCGAGCTCTAAAACTGAAAACCGACCAATACCGACCAATACCGAGTCCGATCAAGATCGAGCTCATGGACAAGAGCCATTACAGCCGCACTAAGGGAGAGAATCTCGGCGGGAATTAGGGAAAAACTGATTTATCATGGGTTCTCCACTATGTATTTTTAATTATATCTAAAGTAGGATCCCCCACTATAAAAGGGATGGCTATATTTCTGTAAAGGGGGAAGTTTGGCATACATTGTAACTCAGATATCATACACTCCCATATTGAAGAATTATCCTTTTTTAGCTTCATAGATTGATTCATCTTGCTTAATCTATAAATCATCTTCCTTTTAACCCGGTTTGAATCTTTTCTTTATAGTTAATATTCGATATTTCTATTTACTTTTACGATTTGTGTCAAGTTATACCACATACCCTTAGAACTACGTACAAATTCAACTCTTTCCGTTTTTCGGATAAACAGAAGAAAATGCCGTCTTTTGGAGTTTGGATAAACTGTGCGCTATGCAACTGTACGAACGTTGTAGGGGGAGTAAATATTTCAATTTTCAGTCAATTTCTAACTTCGGAAATAGCCTCTCTACCCTCAGGGTAGGGGTAAGCTCAGCGTACACACTACCCTCCCCAGACCCCACATGTGAGATTATATTGGGTTGTCGTTGTTGTTGTTTTCTAACTTGATCCTAACCTCAAGTTATATTGTTCCCAAATTCATCTTGTACATCTCGATACATAAAAATGAATGCTTAGTAATTTACATAGTATCAAATGTATTTTCATTACATTTTCAAAAGAACCTAATGGCAAATGCATTAGACACTCTTGTATCCTCATTTGCAAATTGGAAAACGCTAGGCGTCATTGTTGCTTCATGGAGTTGTTTTTTGTTGAGTATATCCTAAAAAACTGCCATTTTCAGTTTCTGGATGGCAGGGTAATATTTGTTGAAGTCGCTAAGCCTAGATCTGAACTTCGTCGAGGCCCTAATCAAAATAAAAGACAATGATGTAGGCATGCATCCCTAATCAAGACTCATCTCCAAGGTCCATAATAACTGTTATGAGGGAGGAATGAATAGTGGACGGCTTCATTTAATCATCGTGCATCTACACTTTTATCAGAATGTTTCTGCTCAACTTGCTCTACCGAGGGATGAAGATTGCTTACTTCGATACAAGCAAAATTAATCTGGACGCAAAATGGTGATAATCATTGATTCATTATTGCATTTCCAATCCTCTCTCACACAATTGTGCAATTACTAACATGTAGTGCTTGTTGTACATGAAACCAGCTATTTGATGTGAGGCCAAAAATTTGGCAGCACAGCTTTTCTTAATTATATAACTCCATTTGTTTGTACCATAAACTCTGAGAAGACAGACTCTTCTTGTTGGTGGAGGAAATCTAAGAAAGCCCTTCCTTTTAGCTAATTCTAAGTTTGTGCTAGTCATGTATGTTAATGCATTTCCCGTTATGTCACTAGATAATAGATAGCTACAGTATATTATATATCCTGCAGATCTTGACAAAAGCGTCTGTCTCGTTTTGCACCCACATGTTTGCCTTGAGCTGACAAGTTTGCTCTGCATAAGTACACATACATCAAAAACTTCTGCTTATCTTTTTTCAGCTGCAGACATTGGCTTTTTTTTTTTGGCATTTCCTTAGCAAATTGGTGCGCTATACCCCAGTTGATATGCTGCTATACAGAATTGAGCATGTGAGTTTTTTCAGAGAAAATAAGCTGAGCCCATACTTCTCCCCACTGCTTAGTTTTATGGATTCGGATGGCATATTAATACAATCTCAAAAAGAATAATATTACCAGCCACAGCAGGGAGTTGAGACCAGATGGTGTAAAACATCATATCAAATAAGAAGAATGGGATCTCTATCCTAGGAAAGTATTGACAGTGTCAACTGTTAGGGTTATAATACAGATAGGACTACAGTCTACATGTGTTGAAAGGAAGGATTCTTGGCTATACCTTATCTGCTTATGAACTCTACTTTCCATACATCTCAGATCTCATTCTGCTCTAAAATTCTGTTGCGCGGACTTTCCAAAATGTAGCCGCACCCGTGTCGGATCCTTCAAAAATGCACTACTTTTGGAGGATCCGACACGTATCCGGCCACATTTTCGGAGAGTCCGAACAACATAGCTGAAGTTTATATAGAATACCAAATGAATGCTGAAAAGACAAGGAATGTCTGCAAATGGTCTCGTCTCTTTATGAAGTTGGCGTAAGTCATCATCAGATGACAAGAATTAAAATATCTGCGAGCCTAAATTATTCGACAAGCAGATATTGGGTAATAAATCAGACCATTGTGTGTAGGGCTGCAAAAGTGCAGGTCAGGCAAGGAGGAATTGAAAAGAGAGGTAACTGCAACAGAAAGCACTATGAGCACATTCGGGCTCTTTGTACCTCTCTTTCTTCTGCACCAACCCCCGATGACATACCATCCCTCTCTGCTAAACATCTTTTGTATGGTACAAATCCCTTTATGTAGTTCCGTTTCTCGCTCCTGGATGTACATTTAGATTCAACAGCATAACAGTTCCTCTTTCCATAATCTGCTTCACTGGCTGAGCCAATGTTAGAACCAGATGATGATCCCTCCCTCTGAGATTCTTTACTGTTTTGTCTTTGACTAGGAACAGAACTCCCCGTGGCTGTTTGGCTGCATGGCGAGACGAATCGATGCACTAAACCTTGGTACCAAGACCGCCAAGACATAGTAGCAGGAAGAGATGCTAAATTGTTAGGATTGTCATCTAGCCAATTTTCTGGCAGCGAGAAGCTGGTGGAATTGTACTGCCAGGAACCATGGCAAGAATGAACTGTGCATTTGCTTGGTTAAATGGGAAGCTGTGAAACAGATTGTCATTGCCGATATTGATTTTCTCTTCAGTTGCATTAGATGGCAATGAGTTGCAATTTTCTGTACCTTGTGAACCAAGGTGAGGAGCATCTGGTACAAAAACCGTCTGTCCAAACAGCTTGATACCTGCTAAAGGTGTTTCAACAGCTTGGTACCTGCTAAAGGTGTTTCAACAGCTCGCTTTTCACCAGAACATGAGGTATCCCTGGAAGCTATATCACATTCTTGCAAATACAGAGACTCTTAAGATCAGTGAAATTGGTAACTGGACAGCAACTCCTAGACCATTACTAACTCGCTTGAATAGTAAATTTACCGTTTTGGAATTGGTAACTGGTCCAGCAACTATCAGCTTCTACTTTTGATGCAACAGGTACTTCCTCTTCAATACTGGATTTTGATGTCATATATTTGGCGTCATTCTCTGTAGAGATTAAGTAATCGGAGTGTGCATCCATCTTACAAGAGGCTGGTGAAAGGTTAGCGCTTCGCTGTGCAGCCACTGGAGATCCAGAAAGATCTGAATCACACAAAACTGAATCTGGGGAATAAGTGTCTCTGCCCTGAGGCGATGCACTTGGGGTAGGAGACCTTTCAGACTGAGCTGAACTTCCAAGGTTAGTTATAGGCGAATCCACCATCTTACGGGGGTAAGGATGCAGTGGTTTCTTCTTCGGCCTAGGCGGAGGGATATCCATCACATTAAGTGATCCATCACCATCATTACCAGAATCATGAGCAACCTAAAATGGATGATTAAACTTCAATGATTTTGGCCAGGGATTATCGAGGCATCTCTGCTTTTATATCTTTTGCACGCCATTGTGAACCAATGAGCAAACTTGTTAACAGCGCATTTAAACTAAGGCACCAACCTTGGAAAAATATTTCTGAGCATGGCTCCGACTCTAAATTGCAGTTTTGGTGCCAACATGTTCTACATTATCAGAAATGACATTTAAGAAGCTTCCAGTATATTCAGATACATCAATGGAAAAGAAGAAAGGATTCTAAAAAAGAATGGACCTTGTGTTAGGGACGAACAACCTTATATCAAACTCACCTTCTATTTGGCGCCAAGCACTGCCATACAGCTTTAAGGCTTCAAAAAACTTTTTGTGTTCTTCCTCTGTCCACTTCTCTCTGTGTTTTGTAAAGGTATAAGGCTTCCTAACCTGCTGCACATAGGACCAAGAAATCTAATTGAATCAGATCAAGCTATATGCTATCCGAGATCATTTAAAAATGAAAAATTTTGAAACAGGGATGTTGACCTTTGGCATATTCTCATTTCCAGGAAAAGTTTCGACCTTCACTTGAGTGGCCACAGTTCCCAATTTCGAGCTAATCACAGATGAGGCATCTTGGCCAACACCCTTAGTTTGGTCCTACAACATTCCCAAGAAACTATACGCCATAAGCAACGAATCTTCAGGCGGGTTCAATTTAAAAGATAGAAAAGAACAAGATAGGAACCCTCCCACCTCACACTACTACACTCCCTCTTTCACTAATTTCTGTTAGTCAGAGTGACAATAGACAGATCATTCAGAGTTTTTCTGAGAAATAGACATATGGATATCACCCACCGCCTGCTAACGAGCAACATATGAGATACAAAATACTATGTGTAGTACTGTTTCATGCTAATCTATTGGCACACTGTAAAATCAGTTACTGGGAGTACAAACGACTAGACATTTACCCTCATGAACTCAATGTACAATTCCAAAGTTAAGATACAAAAGGTTTAGCTGCCAGATCAAAGTCAGTGAAGAAATTTGCATTGTCTTGCTTTAAGTAAAATGCAAATGAATGAACTTGATATATCCTAAGTTTTACTAACTTTTAATCAAACCTTTAGTAAGATGTGTACTACCTACTTCCCCTGATCAAATAAAGGAGTATTAAATAGTTGCCAGAATTGAAACTTATAATTGTCTTTTTGGCATAAGTTATTATTAATGAAAGAAAGCACCCACCAAATAGTACTATTACAGATAATTAATGAAGCTACTTCACAAAAACAGGATATTGCAATCATACAAATAAATGTCATTCTCCAAACATGAAATCATAAGAACTCCATTTAGTTTCTACATAATATACGGGCAAATTAACCCCCACATACCACAATAGTAGGAAAATGCATAACTAATAAAGACCCAAATTCTATTGCAAAAAAATAAAAATAAAATAAAATAATAATAATAATA